GATGAACTTGGACATTAGGAGGAACCCAATGCCTTGAGAGAAAACCAAATTCAACAGTTACAGGTTTACTGCTTCATTACAACCCACCCCATGCCCTTGACCAACAGTCAACCAACAGTCCCGCAGGAAGATTTCCCCCCATGTCCTAGTCAGGGCTGGTAAGCTGCACTCTGCTTCTGGTTTGAGAGGAAAGCATTGGTCCCTCCATGATACCTAACACAGGGCAGTTACAGACAGCCAGAATAAGGACTGTGGATGCTGAGCTGAGGAAAGGGGCAGCACAGCCCCAAGGATCTGGCTGGGTTATGGTTTCAGTTCAGCCACTGACACCCTTGTGCCCCTACACTCTCAGTGTAGTCTTGCTGGGCCTCAGTGTTCCCATTTTTTAAAGAAGGAATTATTTCTACTAGCCTTTATAAAGGCTTTGCGTCTTTATCATACAGTCAAACCAACCTACTGTTAGGCTGAAAGCAGGCAAACAGCTGTTTTCCAGCTGCAGTTTACATACACCTGAAGTCTGATGGGAACTCAAATCCCAGCCAGTTCCAGTCCTAGTCCTGGCTTAGTCTCGAACACAAGCATGGGTCTAATCTTGCTTCACATCTGGGTCTGACTGTTCCCCCTTTATCCTATTTCAAGCTACGCAAGGGATTGCTTCTGCGCTCTCAGCCGGGGAACGTATATATGTTAATGCCTTCACTTGACTTTTAGTATGAAAATTCAAGATATTCAACTGCTTTGGTTTCCTCTGATAAAGAGTGTCTCCATGGGAAGTGACAGTGGAAGAGAGAGAAAAAATCCCAAGCCTCATCTTCTTCTGAAATCCTGGTCCACACTACGAAGAATGAAACTTCTTTCTCACCTAATTTATGGAGTACCTCTCTTGAAGGATTTTTCTTGAAAAGGTCGATCTGAATCTTAGTTCAAAAGATCAAAGGAGACACTGATAACTCATCTTCCCTCAGATGACCTATTAAAAAGTACTTTTAATAGGGGGGAAAAAAAAAAAGAATATTTACTCCCACAGTATGTTCCTCTGGCAAAAGCCCCACTCCTTTCTTGGTAACAGGCCCCTCAAAAGTCTCCTCCAGGTGTTCCAGTCCTGTCCTTACTACAGAACTGCTCACAGCTCATCTGATGGGTCTGGGTCCTATTGAAGTAGCCAAAACTAACCTTTCCCTCTCCCTCCTAGCTGGTGAGCGCTTTTCCAACTATCATCTACAACAGGTGTGCCTGCTGAGCTCAGGATTAGGCACTGTTAAATAGGGTGATTCTATTTATGTTAAATATTAAACTTAAATAGCAATTCATAAACTTTAAAAGAGAATCCAACACGGACAGCTTCACAGCGCCCAGTAACCTGGAAATCAGCTAAATCTTCAGGTAGAGTCATCATCTGACTAATGTGTAAAAAGATGAAGTGTTTTCAGCTCCTATATATAGATGCTAAGCCCCGGAGCTCGTCATATTGACTTGTCTAAACCAGACGATTTCCTCAGAAACGGAAAGGGAACAAACACTTTTTAGAATTGTGATTATTCTCCCATACTGTATTAAGAAGTCTGTCACATGCTTTACTGGCAATAGTCAGAGGTAGAAAAAGCACAGTCATTCTGCTCAGTCCAAGCTAATATGGCTTTGCTCTTTACCCGTTATTTCCCAATGGTCTGTCCAACCCCAGATTTGTCCATCCACCAGTAATGAAGTTCCCACTCATGTTTGAGGCTATATCTGTAATTCTACCTGGCACCCTTCTTCAGAAAAATATTTCTCCATATTCAGCAGAAACTACATTTAACTCAATTCTTTCGATAAGTTGATTATTAAACAGAACAGAATACCAGAGAGGAAAAAGAAATAAAAAAGCCTGCATCCTTCTCCCCTAAGATGATCGAGTGAGGGTCAGCAAAAACACAAAGACTTTATGATTAAACAGAAAAATGTTCAGAGCTATTCCATTTTAAGGTCTAAAACCCAGCCCTTTAGAGTTTTTGTTTTTGTTTTTTTAATCACTAGAGATCCCTGAGATGTGATATAGACATGTATAACCCTATTAGAGATGTCAAAACTTTATGAGGTATTATTGTGTTCATCTTACAAGGACTTGGCAAATTGCGCATGGGGAAAATAAAAAATAATTTTCCAAAATGGTAAAAACAATACTGAGAGGTACAAGGAAAGAATATTAAAGCATGACACAGAGAACACAATGACATGCTTGACGAAATCATCGTTTGTTTTCTCTGTGGGGATATCTGACAAAATAAGGAGTGAACACACACCTTTGTAATGAAATGACCTGAGCTAGAGATAGGAGAGAGGAGCCGAGAAGTCCCCTAGTGAAGCTGAGGCTTGTTTGTGAACCACTGCACACAAAAGTGGAGGGAAAGAAAGAGAGAACAAGGGAGATGAAGAGGAAAAAGAAAGTTAAGGGGGAAGATGCTCTCTCGAGCAACGTGCATTGCTACTGCAGTTCCTTCCAGGTGTATCCATGACCGTGAGCTTTTCCAGAGTTCCCAACTGTTATTCCTCCCTCATCAAAACAGCAGGGCTCACCATCGCTCTCTAGTTCCTCCTATGAGGAGTGCCCACAGCAAGTCAGGATGTATCTTGATTTAAGAGAACATGACACCTGCAGAGAGGAAGAAAAGTTGCAAGTGAGTAATCATGTAGCTTTATATTCCAAAGGAACATCCGCTCTGTCTCTGTGCTCTGGACGTGCCTGACTCCTTCTGCTTATGTTAGTCAGTGCCACTCTTTCTGCAGGAGTTCCCTCTCTTTCAGATTGCCCGTGATAAGTACCCACACCACGTGCTCTGCTCTCATCCAAAAACTTTGTGGTTTACCCATCCAACTCCTACCAGGGAGTTATGGATCCCAAGGCCTGGAAACCACCACCTCATGTGATTTTGCTCCTTCCTCTGAGTGTCTGTGGTGGCTGCTGGGCTCAGCTGATCAGAATTTCCCTATTTTGTGTTGGCATTCAACAACGCAGCAGTCCCAACAGCACAGCTTCCCCGTCCTGCCCTCTCAGGGCTTTCCTGAAATCTGGGACATTTTTCTGAGGATTTTTGTATGAGAAAGCAGAAGTTTGTGCAGCTTTGTATCAGACTACTCCTTGTTTGCTTTGGGGAAAAGGGAGAGGAAGAGAAGGGGGATGCGTAGTTTCCATGAAGTCATTTAAGGTAACGTGCGGTCTCGCAGCTCTTCCCAGCACTGTCCGAGGTAGCCCCTGGCTCCTCTAACACACTTCCTTCCCCTCCTTGCCATACACACTAAAGTCTCAACCCCACATATAAGGCTGCTCAACTCTTCCCACTGCAGAAACACAGATTATGGCCACGTGTGCTCCCCAAAACTGCACCCTCCCCAAACACAGCATCCCTAATTTCACACAGAATATACACAATACCCCAAGAGGGAGGCACAGAGCAGCAAGATGCCTTTGCTTCACAGTGTGGAGGACCAGCATGTTATGAGGTGGAGCTGGAGCAAACTCCCTTCTGCACCGTGACAGAGTTGCTATGAATTTGTAAGGACCACAGCGAGATGGCTCTCACCTCTATCAGGAGAGACAGGCCCTAGGAAAGCACGAGGTACGACGTGAACGAGTCTAGAGGTATACTACAAAGGCCTTGGGGTTGCACGTCAGTTTGTCACTATGTTAAATATCATTACTTTCTCTCTCAGCATTTTAAATGATTCCATCACAGCAGTGCCTGGACACAACTCTGCTAAGACTGATCAATCTTCATGCGGATACAACCACCCCTTTCCTTCTGTGTGCAGTATCAGACTAGTTTTGCTCACTCTGTTGCACCAGACTTTTCTACCTTGCGCCTGCTCCTTTCCCCCCTATAACCACCCCTAACAATAGGAGGTTTTGTCTCTGCCTGGCATCCGGCGGTAACAATTCCTCAAGCCTCCTTAGCTATTATTTTGTGTGCGCAGCCTGGACTTAATCAGAACATTCCTGCCAGATTTTAAGCTATGGCACTGCGTGGATAATCTAAGCTTTTTTTTTTTTTTTACTTCCCATTCTAAGTGACTGTGAGAATAATGAGCCCATACTCTCTCTGGCTGCAGCTCCAAGCTAGCTGTTTTCCTGTCCTTTATCTCTTCTCTCCACCGAGCAGACTCTTTAGCAATAGGAAAAAGATCACAGCTGCAAACCAGGAAAATTAGGGTAACAAAAGGGAAGAAACATATGTGCTCCCGGTCTGCATATTCTGTACCAGTTTTTCTGTTGCGTTGAAGTGACACAGTTCTTCAGGGCACTGTGGCTGTTTCACTGCCAAGAACTCCTGCCCTAGTGAAATGAGTCAGCCTGGCTGTCCATGGATGCTTTGCCCACACTGTAGTCACCGTCCGCAGTACAGTATCATTCTGCACTGGTGATGTTTCCCACCCACCTGGTACCAAGGCCTGCAGCAGCAGCAGCAATGCGAGTCCCCAGGCAAACCAGAGAGCTGTAAAGAAAGTAGTAACTGGTGCACAAAAGCAAGAATAAACAGAATTGCCAGAGCTGGAAAAGGGATCCTTAGACTGAAGGATCAAGAAGCACTGGAAAGGCAGGATGGCAGTGCACCATGGCACCTAGAGCACAGCAATGCTCTCAGGAACAAACCAGGAAAATCAGTGCTCAGGCAAAGACTGCAGTCTGGAAAAACAGCCAAAGAGTGGGTCGAGGGAAAAGGTAAGAGAGCAAGAGAGTTGTTTTCTTCCCCACACAAAACCTTCTTTTTTTCCCCCTTCTCTCCTTGGACAGCAAGATCTTTGCTTTGGCACCTGACTCCGCAGTGAGAGAGCTATTCCTCCTTCCTCATGTGGTTACTTCCTTTCCTGATTAAAAGTGATTAAGCAGCTCTAAAACCTACACCAATGCAACTGACTGGAACAGAAACAAAGAGTCCATTCAAGATCTCTTAAATCCCCACGGCAGTATTTAGAGAGCCCTGAAGCAGAGACCTGGAGCAGAACCACTCCATCAATAACTCCCTGTTCTTCCTCCTTTTGTGCTCTTTGTTGCCAACGTCTCCTGCACGATGTCATTCTCTGAAGCAGAAGTGCAAAGCGCTCGCGGCGCCTGGGAGAAGATATATGTTGATGCGGAAGACAACGGGACAGCTGTGCTGGTCAGGTAAGGAAAGAGCCCATCCCACTGCTACCCCAGAGGTTTCAACAAGAAAGGACAAGGAGGAGGAGCTGGAGTTAATGCCTAGAAGCGCGTCTTGATGCATATCACATAGCCCTTGCTGGGAACATTATGATTTGCTGTGATTTATCCCACCTCAGGAAGTAAACAGCAAAGACAAGAGAATCATACATATAAAAGCAGTAAGAGGAATGGGAGAAAGGGTTTGGAAAAGGAAGAAAAGACTAGAAGAACAATTTCCGCACCATGCCCTAAAAAAAAAAAAAAGTGATATAGTCAAGGTAAAGACAAGGAAGTACAGTATAAAAGAGAACAGGAACAAAACAAGGGCCCTATATCCTTCTTTTCCTTTGCCTCTGAACTCCTTTAATGTTTTTTTTTTTTAAACTTTATGTCCTTGATATTTCTTATGGTTCTTCTTCAGCTTTTCCAGTCTACAGCTCATCTTTTTCACTGTGCTGTGTCATTTCTATTGTCTTTCCTCGTTTAGTTTTTACATTATTTTCTCTCTTTTTCCATAAGACACAAGTTTCTTCCACTCACTTTTGACATATTCCTCTCTTAGCTGGGATTTACATCATGTCCATGTGCACTGACCAGGCCAAATATTATTTGTTTATCATGCCTTTACCATTCACTTCGGCCTCCCTGTATATCACATATTTTGCCTGGATCAGCCTCCACAAATGTTATGCGCCATTCTTTCCCTCTCCAGTCTACACAACCTGAGGACAGTTAGGGTCAGAAATGCAGCTACAAAATGGCAGTGTCATCCAATGGTTTGGCTCCCTGGGGCAGTTTACTGCAAAGGATTTTGTGTTAACGTCCTACAGACCAGCCCTGCCTTTACGGAATGATCCAGGTTCTTCTCCTTATCGAGGGCTACATATAATTGCCAGTCACTAGCACGTCACTGCAGAGACATTTTATCTGTGATAAGAGCAACCCAGATCCCTAAAACTTTCACCTTAGACTAAGATCCTGACCTACATTGGTAAAGCTATAAATTTCTGGAAAATTACCTTTCCTTATGAAGCGATATGAAAGTCAAAAGTGACACAAAAGACAAAGTCTTTCCCAGAGCAATTATTGCAGTGAATGCCGACAAAAATCTCAACTCTTGGCCGCTCTCAGCATTTCAACTGCAACAGTCACTGCCTGCTACATTTCTGTTGTAAACTGTAATAATGTGTGGCCCTTTGGATCTTAAGCCCTCCTATTCTAGAAATGCAATCTGGAATTCGCTACTGCTGTTTCTGGTGGAAATTGCTTTATCCAGTGAAGTAAACTCTGCTTTCTTAAGAACTTGACCGAGATGACTCTAATTGATGGATTATAAAAAACAAGTGGCATAAAATTATGTCACCTTTTCAAAAAATGAGATGAGCAGTATCTCAATAATCCATCAATAAACAGTAATCCATTACAGGCAATAAGGTGGGTCTGGGATGGACTCTAGAAAGGGGTTAACGAACAAAGCCAGTAGCAGGGTTTCCTCCATGAAAATGTCCATTGGGACCAAAACAGAAACATCTGCTGCCTAGATCATCATTGTGACTATTGCACTGTCACACTTGTCCTGCTAGGAATGAGCTATTTCCCTGTGGATTTTGTCTCCACCTAGCACTGAGTCAAGCCTGAGAAAATGTTTACTTTAGGAACAGTGTGAGTGTGGGGGGAAACCAGATTCAGCCTTTCTCAGGCAGATAACAGTTTCAGATGTTCCCAGACCTCATGCTGTGGAGTCCTAGTTAGAAGTTCTTATGAAGTGAAACTCATCTGGGAGGAAAAATGAAGAAAGTTCGTCACATTGCTGTGAATGAGCCTCCCAGCAGAGCGGTGAATCACAGATTAGCAGCAGTGCCAGCAGGTTTTCAGATGCAGTGAGCAAAGCAAAGAGCCCTGGGGAGAGGCAAGGGGAGGGACAGACTGCTATGGACACTGGGGCCATGCACAGATGGGGGATAGGAAGGACAAAGAAGAACAAACATACACATGAGAAGGAGTTTGCTCTTATAAAGAGAAGGAAAAAGGTCAATAAATGCATAAGACAAGGCCTAGAACATGAAGACGTATCAGTGCTAATGCCTCAGTCTGCAAATTAGGCTCTCTCTCATTTCTTGCCCCGGTTTCTCTCCCCCCTCACTACAGGATGTTTACAGAGCACCCAGACACCAAGTCCTACTTCACACACTTCAAAGGCATGGACAGTGCCGAAGAGATGAAACAGTCAGATCAGGTCAGGGGGCACGGCAAAAAGGTTTTTACTGCCATCAATGACATAGTGCAACATTTGGACAACACCGAAGCTTTTCTTGGGATAGTGAACCCCCTGGGCAAGAAACATGCCACCCAGCTCAAGATTGACCCCAAAAACTTTAAGGTGAGCCAGCAGCCATTTTCCCCTGAGGCGTCATTGTGAAGGGATGATGTCTTCCCTTGGAGGGGAAGAACTGGGGAAAACAGGTTTTTTGATACTTCAGAGAGTGAAGAGGGTGGAAAGTAAGACAGTAGATGGTGGAAGATGGTAGAAATGAGAGATCTGACGTATGCAATGAGTTTGTTATCACAAAACCCTTTTCTGGCTTCTCATGAGAGCTAAGATCTGTCATATAACAGCATATACAGCACAGTACTATGTACTGTACATAAACATATATATATATATATATATAGATGTATATACGTTACTGCTGTATACATTGATTTTCAGAAGCTGAATCTGTTGCTATTTGTCTGGCTTCCTGACTGGTATGATCAAGCTGTTGAGGGAGACAGCCAAGGGCTGTTAGGAAAGCGGCTTTTCAGCAGATGCAACGCGGGCAGGTCTGCTCAGATAGGAGCTGCAGGCTGCCTGTGTGCAGTAGTGGCTTTCTTGCTTTAAGTGCAACAGGATTCACGTTTGCTTGTCATCTAATAATAAGACAGAAAAAAAAAGCTTACACCAGGCTTCAATCTGTGATATCAAATTTTCCGTAGTAAGGAGAATTGAGCTTTTGCAGGACAACCGAAACAGCCACCGACAAACAGCATTGCCATCATTAAACAAACGCAGAAAACAAATAGAGCATCAGATCACTTGCCCAAGCCCATCTAAAGTCACTAGCAGAGAGCATTTGCATCTGTTTTATCTGCCTTACAGAACACAAAATGCAAAAAAAACCCCCCACAAACCAAAGATCCCCACACACAAACAAAAAAAAAACAAAAACAACTTCGCAAAAGCACGAGAAGGGTGCTCATTTCCAGTTCTGTATACCATATATGGCTAACTTGTTTTTGTATCCTGTCTTTTTCCAGAAATCAGGAACCCCCTCCCCACCCCCCACCC